CTACCATGACATATGCACCATGAATAAAACGCGTTTTAATTATGCACTCATTACCCTTGCGTAGTGTTTTGACACTACGCGCAGTGATCTGGCTCTCAGAAGTGGTTATCTAAATTTTTTAGTAAGAGCCAATCAAAACCGAACATACTTAAATGTCATGGTAGAATGTATATTAACAATGAGAACGGTTATATCTCTATTAAGTACAAGGCATGATCACGCCCCAACGTTAATACTATATTCTAATGGAGGACAGTTCAAACTCCCTGACCAGCATACGTCTAGGTAATTGTTTTGTTTCAGCAGTCATAGCGTTGTTTCCTTGTAGGTCGTTATTTGTGTAGCTGTTAGTTTCTTTGTTTAACGCCGCACTATTTCAGCAATATTTCAGCTGTATGACAACGGACTGTAAATAATCGAGCCTGGACCAGAGTGAGTAAGTGAGTGAGTTTAGGTTTACGCCGCACTCAGCAATATTCCAGCTATATGGCGGCGGTCTATAAATAATCGAGTCTGGACCAGACAATCCAGTGATCAACAGCATGTGCATCGATCTGCGCAATTGGGAACCGATGACATGTGTCAACCAAGACAGCGAGCCTGACCACCCGATCCCTTTAGTCGCCTCTTACGACAAGCATGGATTACTGAAGGCTCATTCTAACCCGGACCTTCACGGGTAGAGCCCGGACCAGACAATCCAGTGATTAACAACATGAGCGTGTCGATCTTCGAAAACGGGATATGATGACATGTGTCAACCAAGTCCGTGAACCTGACCACACGATCCCGTAAGTCGCCTTTTACGACAAGCATGGGTTGCTGAAGATTAATTTTAACCTGGATCTTCAAGGGGTGTGTTGCTGGTAGAGACACAGGGATGTTATTGTAGATCCGGGTACTAGTCCGGGTTCAGAGGTACCAGTCGTTGGACATGGTTTTGGTGTGGTTTTGGTGTGCTTCCTTAGCACGTGGCAATGTAGAATGAAAGGGAGCAGGTGCTTCAATAGGATGCGTTATTTTGATTCACAAGTATAGTATGCCTATAAATACATCTCTTAATACGTATTTTTTTCAGTCCCAAGCGGCATTGTGGTATCTCAGTGGTCAAAGCGTTGGCTCGTCCAGCCGAAGATCGGGGTTTGATTCCCCATATGGATACAATGCGTGATTTCTGGTGAACCCGCTTGCCATTTATCGTAATATTGCTAAAAGCGGCGCAAAATCGTTTTCACTCACACAATCCTAATAAAAAACGTAGAAATGCCCCAAAAGTAAAAGAAATACCCTCAAACAATTGAAACAAAACAAACCCAGAGCCATACGAACAAGAACGGAGCCATTCAGCTCACAGAAATAGATATTACATTAATTTAATATTAAGTGTGATCTATTCTTAGACTTACAGGATTTTGTTGTAAATGTATGACGTCATCCACTACACGTCACGACATTGTATCATGACGTCATCATGATACAACCGCAATCCAGAATATTCTTGACCGCCATAAAGCTGGAATATTGCTGAGTGCGGCGTAAAACTAAACTCACTCACTCATTCAGCACATTCTTGAAACACATAATACTTACCTACCTTTATGCCTCTTGTGTTGATGTTTCAACCCTTTCGAGGCCATATCAAATGTAGCAATGCACAACAAACAAGTTCTTCATTTCAAAAAAGGGGAAGAAGACACAGACGTAACTGACAATCTTTACTAAAATATACATCAACGCTGACTACAGTAATTACACATTATTACAATTACATCTAGTGTGAGTAACATTGTCCCACATCCTCCTCATCCATCTACACACGGTACTGGCAACAGGCATTTTTCTACAACACATGGATGAAGGAAAGGCAATTATATTTGCTATAAATTCTGCATACAGTTAGCTCAATTGTTTTTCACTTCTTTGTAGCTGAAATGATTGTGAATGCATTGTAGGAATGTCGTCGCTGGGGTAACAGATTTGATTTTGCATATCTATCATTTTCTGTATACTATGGGTTAACATCGTCAGTGGTTATTACTGATGAAACACAGTACTGATGAAACACGTGGGTCTCTTCATCAATACTAAAACACACTATCTCCTCATCAATGATGAAACACCCGTATCTCCTCATTACTGATGAAACACACGACTCTACATCAATGATAAAACACACGAGGCTCCTCATCAATGATGAAATACACATGTCTCTTCATTACTGATGAAACACATGGGTCTCTTCATTATTGATGAAACACTTGGGTCTCCACAGTACTGATGAAACACACTATCTCCTCATCAGTGATGAAACACCCGTATCTCCTCATTACTGATGAAACACACGACTCTACATCAATAATAAAACACACGAGGCTTCTCATCAATGATGAAATACACATGTCTCTTCATTACTGATGAAACACATGGGTCTCTTTAATATTGATGAAACACTTGGGTCTCCACAGTACTGATGAAACACCCTATCTCCTCATCAGTGATGAAACACCCGTATCTCCTCATTACTGATGAAACACACGACTCTACATCAATAATAAAACACACGAGGCTTCTCATCAATGATGAAATACACATGTCTCTTCATTACTGATGAAACACATGGGTCTCTTTAATATTGATGAAACACTTGGGTCTCCACAGTACTGATGAAACACACTATCTCCTCATCAGTGATGAAACACCCGTATCTCCTCATTACTGATGAAACACACAACTCTTCATCAATAATGAAACACACGAGGCTTCTCCCCAATTACAAAACACATGGGTCTCCACAGTACTGATGAAACACACTATCTCCTCATCAGTGATGAAACACCCGTATCTCCTCATTACTGATGAAACACACAACTCTTCATCAATAATGAAACACACGAGGCTTCTCCCCAATTACAAAACACATGAACCCCATCAGTACTGATGAAACACACGTATCTCCTCATTACAGATGAAACACATGGGTCTCTTCAATATTGATGAAACACATGTGTCTCTTCAATATTGATGAAACACATGAACCTGAACTGAGGTGAAACACACGTATCTCCTCACTGATTAAAACATATCAGGCATCCTCTATGTAACTCTTTTAAACGCTAAACATTCTAACAGTATAGGTAATAAAACTCTAACAGGAACATTTGAATGAATAGATTCTGTAAAGGTGTATCACATGGTTTGGAACACACATTGGTATAAACGGGTAACAACAACAACACAACAATATCAGTTGGCGAAGGCTTTCGATATGTCGAACTTCCGTTATCTCGAAACAACAAATACGTTGCCATGACCTGTCTGACCCAGCTGTCGTGTGCTAGACGATATACCCTCGCATGGGAATTGGCACTCATCAACACTTGGCATTAGAGTGTTGGCATTTTCTCGACCATCCCCTGGCCTTAAGGACTACTCTTTATCATTGTTGCCCCCAAGATGTAGATGTCAAGATACCTACTTACCTCGTTAAGATAAGTTTTTGAAATGTTATGATCCTCGTTTTAACTTACCAAATATCTCCCGGATAACAATGGTATCACGATATAATCACATATTTTAATATACAGGAGATATTTAGGCAGCTTAGTACGAGAAATGAGCAAACTGCAATTTTTAAAGAAGAGATTTTTTATCAGTCAGAGGTTCCACTTCAAAACATCAATTTGAATCTAAACAGCAATTTTAAGAGCAGATTTCAAATTACAGTGGCGAATGATTTTTGCAGGAGTTTCGTAAACGTAAGATTTTTACACCCACCCTCAACATCGTCTCGTAGTCGCTGAATATAACAGTTCATGGTTATTTGGCTATAAATTGTTCAACCAGCATTTATAATTATTATTATTTGCCCGCTGCAAGTAATAACAGTACGTGTATTTGTTATGACTGGCTTGTTCCCATGCTGTGTGCAAGTGTTGTACAGATCACTGGCAACCTCGAGGTGAAATAAATTCGAGATAACAGAAGTCGATTTATCAGGTACTGAACACAACAATGCAACCATAGGCGGTTCCCGTATCAACGTAGAAAGAACGACTAGAGGTAAACAAACAGGCATCTGGGTAACATCGAGTTACAGAGATTTTCATAGTAACAATTATATTTACAATCATAATAATAATAAAATATTACTTTCCCTCCCTCCATGAGACCACACTTTATGGTTACATGATGTCATTACCCGACGAGCAAGGACGGTTATTGGTTTGTATCTTGTGGTATCTGTTAGTGTCCTTTCTATATAACAGTATAGCTGATTATACAACAAACCTGTATTTATAACATAACATATGGGCTAACCATTCGCTTTAAGTCCGTTGATTTGTCAATTGCTTCACATGATTCATTTATGCATTTCAAGGATATATGTCCACATGGGTACAATGTATGAAGCCCATACCTGGTGTCCCCCGCCGTGATATTGCTGGAACATTGCTAAAAGCGGCGTAAAACCCTACTCACTCACTCACTCACTCTCTCAAGGATATATGACTTGGGTGTCAGGATTGCGAATGAAATCCTGTCACCGTATATGATCCTTGGTTCGTTAGTGTCCTCAACGCGTAGAGAGTTTTCACAAAAGAAGTTAACATCAATGAGTACTTTTCTCTGACATCACATTTGCCCGTGAAGATCAGGGTTAGAAGTGATCTTCAGCAACCCATGCTTGTCGTAAGAGGCGACTAACAGGATCGGGTGGTCAGGCTCGCTGTCACAGTTGACACATGTCATCGTATCCCAATTGCGAAGGTCAATGCTCATGATGTCAATCACTGGATTGTCTGGTCCAGACTCGATTATTTACAGACCGCCGCGCTATAGCTGGAATATTGCCGAGTGCGGCGTTAAACAACAGACAAACTGACATTGAATTCAAGGTCAGTAGAATTACGTCGGCGTTAAACTCCACGCACTGCCCTAACAACTGATATCTACCAATGCTGTGTCTGAAATGAAACACAGCAGTATATTAGTTGGCTTCCTTAAGACTCAACCTCAAGTGCCCAAACTGGCACCGCATTTGTAAACCAATAACACCTCAGATAAATCATGTTTCGTACGTTCAGCTGTGATATTGTGACGTAGAAACATGCACATTGTCACAAACGTCCGAGGAAATCCGAATGTCGAGTCCGAGTTCTATTTTCAGGTACGACTGCAACAGATGTGGAAGTCCATGTTGAACATACATTGTCATTCTCATTTATACATATATATAGGGCATGATGTTAAAACCATGTGGATAGATTCTCTAGCGACAGTTCCTGAGGATATTCACTATCAAACAGCAGAATATAAATAAACTCAGTTGATATTCACAACTGTGCGTCGCCCTTGACCTTGCAGCTGGGTATCTTCCGGCATATGGCGAAGACAACCGAAGAAGATAGTGTGGTGACGTCACTGGATTCTGTGTAGTTGTGGTTTTCAATATGTCCAATGGATTTTTCAGTGTACATACGGGTCCTGTGTGAGGAAGTGACGTCAATGTGCCGTTGACGAGAACGAGATAGGTATGAGCAGCATCGATTGAACATCCCAGAGCCGTCACGCTGTACATACAGGTTACATAGTCGTTCGTTATCCTGTCGAACAGAAAATCCAAGAATTAGATACTCATTTAGAATATCGTTCAGACATGTGTCAACATGCCGAACCAGGTATATTATCTTGAAATTATTGATGGATAAACACATTAAACGTAACATATTGCATATTGCATGTTGCATTCTATAACAGGAATAATACAACTGAAGAGGTGTGGTCATGCATGTCTATGAGTGTGTGAGTGAGTATGGTTTTACACCGCATTTAGCAATATTCCAGCAATATCACAGTTGGGGGACACCAGAAATGGGCGTCACACATTGTACCCATGTGGTAAATCGAACCTGGGCCTTCGGCGTGACGAGCGAACGCTTTAACCACTAAGCTACGCCACCGCCCCACATGTCTATGAACGTTTCCAGTTGGGTTCAAGAACGTTTGAATAGCATGTAAGTTATAAGGTGCTTCAGCTCTATATGGGGGAACGCTCATAGCAGCATCCCCGAGTAGCATCTGGGTGAACCCCACGAGTGATGTTCCAGCTATATGGAGGCGGTCTGTAAATAGTCTGGATCAGACAATCCAGTGATCAACAGCATGAACATTTGGGATACGGTGACATGTGTCAACCAAGTCAGTGAGAATGATCACCCGAGCCCTTGTCGCCTCTGCCGACAAGAATTGGTTACAAGATCAATTCTAACCCGGATCTTCACGGGTAGTGAAACCCACCAGCAGATGAAGGGTGCTGACAGTCTGTAATCAAATAATGGTGTGTGTGTGTGTGTGTGTGTGTGTGTGTGTGTGTGTGTGTGTGTGTGTGTGTGTGTGTGTGTGTGTGTGTGTGTGTGTGTGTGTGTGTGTGTGTGTGTTTAGAACACATATAATTACAAACACTGTCACAGATAAGGACTGAAACGTCATAGGGATTTACTCCATTGGTCACACAATGGGCACTATGTACGAATGCTGTGACCTTAGACCGGGATTTTATGCAATGCCAAAGCGAACATTTAGAAGTCCATTAGCAAATTTAAGCGAGTAAGTGGCTCAGTGACTTAAAATTGGGTGTCATTGTAACAAGGTGGAAAGGTTCATAATATCAATTACTGGATTATCTTTTACCAGTGTGGATGATCTACATACCTCTGTCATGCAGCAAGGATAATGATGAATACCCCTTTAAGGCCCCCTTTAAATTTCGGATCACCCTCGAGACGGAACAATATGCTAGACGAACAATATGTCAACGGTTCAACCACACAGGTTCAGTGCAAATATGAACAGTTAACAAATTTTACACTATTCAGGTTTAACATTTCAAACTAAATTTCCTTTAGAGCACTAAATGTGTCTTCATGTATTGGAAATGTGTCACCATAATTTACTTTTTCAAAGAAATACTTGCCTTGAATTAACATCATTACGCCAATAAGTTCGGCGGGGGGCCACTTTATCAGATCACGAATTACCAATATTGAAATATTTCAACTTGCCTAATCAAAATTTCTATTGTAAAGAAGAACTTCTTCCTGATCACCATTTGCATACCACTGACATCAAGTCAGTTTAGGAAGGCGGAATATGATATGCAGACCTACCGCCCTCTTAAATTGGTCCTACAGTAACCTCTGCCGATACAGCTGAAATGGTTCACGTCAGGGCAAGGAAAAGCATGCGGTAGAAAGACTATTTAAGGCTAAAAGCGGGATTAAGTGGCGGGACTTTGATCAATGACCATCCTTCGGTGCCCCGTTCACAGCTGGGGTTCAGAAAACATGATATTTAACTTCCGGAGTGTTCCCTAATTTCGATTGAGTTTCCAAGGGACATGAGAGTCGAGCTCAGTGATTCAGCGAAACGTGAGACCCGACGGGGGCCAGGTCACAATTATGGGACACTGAGGGGAATTACTTCTAATTCTTACAAGATCAGGATTCAATTGTGTGGATGTGTTAAACGGACACTTTCCTCATAAGTGACTAATTAGGGGCCTTGCTGAACATCAAATGAGTCTGATAGTGTTATTGTATGCCCATGTCGTGCTCTACTTTACATGCAGCTCGCTGATCTTTAACTTTGTCTCAACAACAATGTTTTAGCATCATCAAGTTCAAAAGAGGATGTTGTTGTACCTTCAAAAACTAGGTTACGATTTTTTGAGTAGAAAATGCAACATGGGATTCCAAGAGGGTTAAGACAATGAAGAGGGTTTCAGATATGAAACGAGCTGATTGGAGTGATTTCTCGTCAAACCGTTGACATCCCTTTCAACGAGCATCGCTTTCTGGGCATGTCATCAGCAGGTATACATCGTTGAGTCATCTGACCAGACTTACTATAAACATGAGATCGTGTGTAGCAATTCTAAAGTACACAGCTTTTCACCAAGTTAACAACTGTTAACAAATCCTAGACACGATGTTAACCATGGCGATGAAGCCCTTGTACATGGTAGGCCACTGTCATCCAATCTTACATTGTGTCATCCAATCTCACATCGTGTTATCCAATCTTATATTGTGTCATTTAATCTTACATTGTGTCATCCAGTCTTACATTGTGTCATCCAATCTCACATCGTTTTATCCAATTTTACATTGTGTTATCAAATTTACATTGTGTCATACAATCTTACATTGTGTCATCCAATCTTATATTGTGTTATCCAGTCTTACATTGTGTCATCCAATCTCACATCGTTTTATCCAATTTCACATTGTGTTATCAAATTTACATTGTGTCATCCAATCTTACATTGAGTCATCCAATCTTACATTGTGTCATCCAATCTCACATCGTTTTATCCAATTTTACATTGTGTTATCAAATTTACATTGTGTCATCCAATCTTACATTGTGTCATCCAATCTTACATTGTGTCATCCAATCTTACATTGTGTTATCCAGTCTTACATTGTGTCATCCAATCTTACATTGTATCATCCAATCCTATATTGTGTTGTCAGATCTTACATTGTGTTATCAAATTTACATTGTGTCATCCAATCTTATATTGTGTCGTCAGATCTTACATTGTGTTATCAAATTTACATTGTAACATCCAATCTTACACCGTGCAATCAAATCTTCTATTGTGTCATCCAGTTTTACATATCGTCTTAAAACCTATATTGTGTCATCAGATCTTACATTTTGTCATCCAATCTCCCATTTTGTCATCCAATCTAACAAAACTTAACGGCAGCTGTATCATGGACATTACCTTTAGAATCTCAGATACAAGTGGGCGACTGTTATTAACCAAAGACAGACAACCGTCATTTAATCCTTAATACAGGCAAATCTCTGCCACACATTCCGATTCCTCATTCAATCCTTTCGCTTAAATAACGTAAACAGTGGATAAATAGATAATTTCACGCGAGGGACCATCTGCTGTATACCTAAGCAACATTGCTGTATTGAAAATATATAGGTTACCGATTACCTTTGTCACTAACACCGCGTACAGGGTTGATCCCAATTTCTGCCAGTAAACCCTAAAATCCCACTGAATACTGGACAGTTGCACTAACAGATTAATACACACTTGACAATTACACAGGGGAGTCACCAGCACTGAAAACCAGGAATTGTTCAGAAATCTCAGCCAACAGTGTCGAAACTGACATTCAGTTCTAGAGAACGCGTTGGGTACGGGTGAAACGTGTCGTTAAATCCCAGGGAAGTGTTCAAAACATGAAATGTTAGTGAAAGGTTGAAAATTGTCATCAGTCGTAAAGAATGGTTGAAAACTGCCATAATATACTAGAAACGGGTGGAAAAGCATTACAACCCAGTCAATGGTATGCATATCATTAAATCATATTTGGCAGTTGGATACTGTCTGTCAATGACACTTAGATACTGATGGGAAGTCGTTTTTAAATTCTTAAAAACTGACATTACATCCTAGTGATAGGTAGAAACTGTCATTTGTTCTAAGTGAACGATAGGAAGAAACTGTCATTTATTCCTAGTGAAACAATGAAAACTGTCATTTATTCCTAGTGAACGATAGGTAGAAACTGTCAATTATTCCTAGTGAACGACAGGAAACTGTCATTTATTCCCAGTGAAACAATGAAAACTGTCATTTATTCCTAGTGAACGATAGGTAGAAACTGTCAATTAAGTGAACGACAGGAAACTGTCATTTATTCATGAAACAATTATATCCTAGTGAACGATAGGTAGAAACTGTCAATTATTCCTAGTGAACGACAGGAAACTGTCATTTATTCCTAGTGAAACAATGTAAACTGTCATTTATTCCTAGTGAAACAATGTAAACTGTCATTTATTCCTAGTGAACGATAGGTAGAAATTGTCAATTATTCCTAGTGAACGACAGGAAACTGTCATTTATTCCTAGTGAAACAATGAAAACTGTCATTTATTCCTAGTGAACGATAGGTAGAAACTGTCAATTATTCCTAGTGAACGACAGGAAACTGTCATTTATTCCTAGTGAAACAATGTAAACTGTCATTTATTGCTAGTGAACGACAGGAAACTGTCATTAACTCCTAGTGAACTACCAATGGCATATCAGTGAACAGTGGACGAATACCACTACATAGTGTTCTACAGTAGAACATTCTCCTTACGTCAAGCACATGAAAACCAGGGAAATAATAACAAGGGGATGTAAATCGCTTCATCATAGACACATATCATACATCATACAATACTATAACGGGTCATAAATCAAACCAGTACGCAGAACGTTAAATGTAACAATAAACCCATATCTTCACGAACGCCGAAATGAAGCATTGATATATACAGTGGTAGATTCACATAGAAATATAAGTTATTATGCAAGCTTACAACAGTGCCTGTAATTCAAGCTTTACAGGGGCAAGGATGCGACACTCGTGGTCATTTATGGCGAGTAACTAACACTACTCTATCACTATTTTGTAATAAATATCCAATTAGGAACATGTTCTTCAACAAGCTATGTTGCAAATGTCTATCCAAGATCACAGCGACAATGCATTACAAAGGAAAAAATAGTCTAAGTTCACAAGCGCATTAAGTATATGGTTTCATAAATAATTGGTTATTTTACAACAAACGAATTCTCTGGTTCCACCCATCACCGTATAGTAAATTACAAATATTATAATGGCCAGTAAGGTTTAGGTTTATATAATTTCATAGTTATATGAAACCTGTTCAAGAATGGTTCAATTGTTCTAATAGGGTTCAAGAGGACGCAGGATTGCTACATTCCTTTGTCTTGTCAGACAATTGAGACGTTCTTTGTCTTGTTAGCTGATAGTGTTTCGTTTTGAGGTTATAAGAGATCCTCAATCCCACTACGTAAATAAACACAGTTGATCATTAGGGACTGGGCCTTTGTCCACAAGATTATTCACCTGACAGACACAAACGACCCAGCCCCATCCCTGGCGTGTATTTATACATGTCAAGCAGTGTTCGTCTTCAGAGGAGTGTTGGTATTTCTGGAGGCGCCCCTGGGAGAATGGCCATTGCGTGTTCTGATATATATTAATATAAAGACAGGAAGGTTCGTTTGTTAATTAAGCTACCGTAAATACCTCAACATATTGCCACAGTAAGGGTGTGTTAATACCCTATCCGAAATATACGTTTTCCAATATATTCCAATACGTAAGCCAATATTTAGTCCCAAATCGCCATAGGAAGCCCTGTTGTATTCTGGAGATATATTCGTAACTTCCCTGACACACCACGTGGTAGGATTGCTGATATGAATACATTGTTACATCCACAAAGTCAGGCACTTACAAAAGATTAATTCAACATAAAAAACAACTCATTCTATTGATAGACAATTGATGACACGTCTTTACTAAACGTCCATATGTTTTAGGACTGGGTTACGAACACCTATGGAGATTTTCATGTCATCATGGTGTGGAATATATTTTCTAAAAATCGTACAATTTCCCACTCTGAAGTTAAATTGAGAATTCGGGTTAAGACGCCCTGCTAGAGGTCTATGGGTCAAGTGTTCCAAAGAATCGATCGGATTTCGACATTGCAGATTTATGTTTTAAACATGATAATTTATATGCCACGGCGCTCTCGCTTAACCCAATACTTCAGTCTAACAATACCTCGGAGGGGTCCTTCATGACGTCTAAATCACGTTCAGACCTGCAAACTTTACATAAGATTCTTGTACCTCAAAGAACAGGTTTATATTGGTTATCTTAGCCAAACGAATGTGAAAGTGAAATGGTTCGAAAATCGTCGGATATTTTGGACACGGATTTTTATCTTCCCATGTATCGTTCGTTATCATGCAGCTCCATTAACATCCCACACTGGTTACGCAGACAGAATTGTAGGATTATTCGATTTAAGACAATGTTTCTTGCATAAAATCAGATCTTGTTGGTTTGGAGAGGAATGCTTAACTTTGCAAGATAAGGTTTGTTAGTTCAAGGTGGTGTGAAGCACAAATGGAAGATGGTGGTCACGATAACATATGTGTACATGGTAACGGTATTTGGAGAAGGAGTTCTCTACAACTACGTGCAAATTCTTGTAAACTGACAGTTAACGTAATTTTCTGGCAAAATGGACACAGTTTGACACGTATTTGTTGGTACTGCGAAACATGCTGTCAAGACACGCTGTTGCAGAATGAAGATAGTGATGTATTCATTCTAACTGTATGTAACATTTTGAGTACCTGTTGCTTGTTTGTTGTTTAAAACCGCAGTCAGTAATATTCCAGCTATATGGAGACTGTCTGTAAATCGACTCTGGACCAGACAACCTACTGATCAACATCATGGGCATCGATATACGTAGTTGGAATACGATGACCTGTGTCAAACAACTTGCGCAACGAGAACCACGACGATACGATATATAGGTAGATACCAGTCGTTAGGGCAGTGCGTGGAGTTTAACGCCGACTAAATTCTACTGACCTTGAATTCAATGTCAGTTTGTCTGTTGTTTAACGCCACTCATCAATATTCCAGCTATAGCGCGGCGGTCTGTAAATAATCGAGTCTGGACCAGACAATCCAGTGATTGACATCATGAGCATTGACTTTTGCAATTGGGATACGATGACATGTGTCAACTGTGTCAGCGAGCCTGACCACCCGATCCTGTTAATCGCCTCTTACAACAAGCATGGGTTGCTGAAGGTCAAGTCTAACCCACCCGTGAAGATCCGGGGTAGAATAGGTCTTCAGCAACCCATGTGCATGCCATAAAAGGCGACTATGCTTGTCGTAAGAGGCGACTAACGGGATCGGGTGGTCAGTTTCGCTGACTTGGTTGACACATGTCATCGGTTCCCAATTGCGCAGATCGATGCTCATGCTGTTGATCACTGGATTGTCTGGTCCAGACTCGATTATTTACAGACCGCCGCCATATAGCTGGGATATTGCTGAGTGCGGCGTAAAACTAAACTCACTCACTCACTCAAGTCTAACCCGGATCTTCACGGTTTTGGGGATACCTAAGGAGTGTTTGAATTCCGGTTGATGGCCTGCCACTGACCTCAACGACTGGGATCTTTGTTCGCGACATGAATCACTGCAGTGTTTGGTCGATACTGACGCTTAGACACCAATGAATATCAAAGAATTAAAGTGAAAGGTGCACTTGAAAAATGACAAAATTGTCAAACCGTTACTTGACGTTGCAAACTGAAGGTCCAAAACACAAACAAGATACCCGAATAAAAAAACATCACCATCGATTAACCATTTCTTACTTGTTTCATGTTTTGAGAAATTGATTTTCAATAAATACAAGTAGGTTAGCTTGAGATGATAGTAGTGGTGTGACGATTCATCGATATGCATCGATACATCGATTGATGGGCCGCCGATACAGTGAATCGATACAAAGTTTTACATTGTCGTATATCCCTATACGATACTTTAAATGGACACAATACATCGATGTTTAACTTTGAACATTGCCAAATCGCGATATCTGTCAAGAAAAAAGACTTACTTTTATTTGATGATTCAAATATTTGCTTACTTATTTTCCCTTCATAAGTACACGTTTCCTCGGAAATTCTTGCCTCAAGAATTGTGTCAGACATAGCGCTCGCATGTTATTAACATTCACAAAGTCCGTGTATAAACTTAATTATCTCGTATTCGAATGAACATTGAAAAACGCTTGCGGAATTTGACGAAATACTTTAAAATGGTTTTGTTTTGATCTTAAGGTGTTTTACAGTTGGTGTTAGAATTAAAGATTTTAGTATCGTGATACGTATCGTATCGCCACCCTTATATCGGGATTCGTATCGTATCGCAGTTTCAGTGCACAATATCTTGGCAATATATCGTCGTGACTATAATTTTAGCATCGTGATGTATCGTATCGCAGGTTGTATGCCAATACCAGCAAGAGATGATAGTGGCATTAGAGTGATATGACAACGAATATACCATACGGTCATCTGCCTCTGCATCCATATACCATGACAAGGTTACCATCAATGTGGATGATTGGATCGTTAAGAAGACTGCACAATATTACGGCCTGTATACCCACCTGCACCAGAAGTGGCCACGTGGAGTTCTGGCTCCTAGCGGCAGTTTGCTCTGACGTTTCCTGCGGCAGTTGCCATAGTATTTCCTCATTCTTCTGTAGCAGTCATAATGTCCCATATAACCTGCAACAATAAACATGCCAATGAATCGGGATACCGACCAACAACAGACAGTCGACCAGGTCTGGTGACTTTGATTATTAATAATGACGGCGTACGGTCTTGTGCATAGAGCGCAGGTCACGTATCAGTTAAGCAACGTTGGTTACAGAGTGGTTGGATGGGTGACCGTGTTTGGCAGCTTGACTCCTGAGAGTTTCTATGACTGCAGTCCTGCCCCACAACGAAGCGCATGTGACACATGTAGTTTCACCTTAGGCAAGAGAGTTTGTTCAAAATTGCCTCTGTTCACCCAGCAGTAAATGGGTACCCGGTGGGATAAGTCCTGTGACCATTAACCTTCTAGCGTCTCAGAGGCAGCTTGGGTTATCCGGGGTAATAATGTCCGTTATGTTTTATGTGTTTAGAGCATGCCCATGCCAGTTCAGAGCTTTATAGGTGGCCCTATATATCATCATTAGTATCATTAATACAATGCTTTAATCCTCAAGTGTGGTGATTAAACCCATAGTGATGAGTTCGATTAGAAGGATCAAGAGTCCGCATGCAAAGGTAACGTAAAGCTAATGATAACGTGTCAAGGGTCAAGGGTCATCGCGTATCAGGGGTCATCAAAGAACGGATGTGGACAATCCCCTAACGACGTGTCTCCCGATCAGGTATCGACAACTGTTGGCTTTACACTCGCTTGTCTCAAGATACGGCGTGTCCGGCGCTGTGTCTGTGTGTACGTGTTCGTTAATTTGTGTTCCCATCCCTTTGGGGCTTCATGTACATATGCACATTCGCGTCTTCTCCGTGTTTCTGTACGTTTTACGTTGGGTGGTCAGTACTCTACTAGCACTTGTTCATGTATGCTTGCACGTGAATGTTCACGTCCTCTACGGGTATCTGTCCGTTTTCATGTCTCCCTGTACGTTTCTGTGTATTTGTACATGTAGAATACTTAGTTTAATAGTTAGTGTCCTTTTATGTCCAGTGTTTTCTTCTGTACGTTTTTGTACTTTTGTAAGTGTAAGTGTGTATGTACTTAAGGTTTTTCGTCATGTGTATGGACATGTTAGATATATTGCACACGTTCCTGTACTTAAAACTGTTCATTTGTGCACTGGGTTGTACATGCCAATCGTCTGTGTTTGTGTTGGGTGTGTGTCGTTAAATATGATGCCAATATGCTATAGCGTTCATCTTCTGTGTTGGTGTTGTAAGGTATGTGTACTCAATAGTGCCTATAGTCTTGTAAATATTGATGTGTGTACTCAATAATGCCTATAGTCTTGTAAGTATTGATGTGTGTCCTCAATAGTGCCTATGGTCTTGTAAGTATTGATGTGTGTACTCAATAGTGCCTATGGTCTTGTAAGTATTGATGTGTGTACTCAATAGTACCTATAGTCTTGTAAGTATTGATGTGTGTACTTGATAGTGCCAATAGTAGTGCCTATGGTCTTGTAAGTATTGATGTGTGTCAATAGTGCCTATAGTCTTGTAAGTATTGATGTACTCAATAGTATCTATAGTGCCTACTTCAATAGTCTGTAGTCTTGTAAGTATTAGCCTATAGTCTTGTAAGTATTGATGTGTGTACTCAATAGTGCCTATATGGTCTTGTAAAGTAAGTATTTGATGATAGTGCCTATGGTCTTGTAAGTATTGATGTGTGTACTTGATAGTGCCTATGGTCTTGACAGTACCAGTATATGGCCTCGTAAGTATTGATGTGTGCTGCACCTATGCACGTGTTCGTCTTCAGGTAAGAGTTCATGGGTTAATATACGTGTTCATGTTAAATATCTGAGTATATTAACGTGTGTATGTAACAGTAAAGCAACATATATTGATAATTTTGCACAAGAACGTTACGAGCCTGTATTGACATATGTTTATCTTTGTTGCTATTGTTATGCTTTTGTAAGCATCAGTTCAAATGAATATGAAAGCTTTAAGATTAGGGAGATCATGTCAGTAAAACGAAAATATTTAAAATTTGTAAGACATGCTTATTGCACAGAACCTGTGACATGAAGGTATCGCCCTTCTTCATTAGTACAGGAATGAGGTATTCCTGCGTTCGTGCACGTTGATATAGATTTTAATGGATTGCCTACTTGGCAGGCAGACATGTTTACAACAATAAGAAGACGTAATCTATTACCCGAAGGGGTCACGTCAAACCGCGGGGTAAGGTAGCGCGTGTATGATGCAATTAGCCAGAAAACCTTTGAGCAGTGTGTTATTTCAAATCAATGTTACACTTTAGAAATGTTTACTTTGAATCATGAGAAGAATTACAGGCTGGTAACATTTTGTGTACAAATTCCTGTTTCCAGTCTGGTTGCATAGAGATAGACAAGAATAATAATATACGATTCTATCTGCTGTTAACCTGTGGCCTAAATCAATATTTTCTGGTTTCACATTTCTGAAATAGCTAGAAATATACATCCTTGTGTTATACATGAGAAGTCAACCATATAAACAATACCGTGGAAAATCTTATTTGTGGGATTCAGGAGATTGAAGAACTGATATTCAAACGAAGATGGATAGCTGAATGAAAATAAAATGGTATATAGGAAATATGACTGACAAATTATATCAGGAATCAGCTAAATAACAATAAGCCAATTTTAAATTAAGGAGTTGTGGACCGTATAATTTTCAGTGATTCAATATAGAGCTCAATAGAAGGTAACTAAATAGGTCTGTTTTGACCAGAAATGGTATGTTTAGAGTAATAAAACTCAAATCGAATGAAGTGTTTGCGTGCTGCGAAACATTTCGTGGTTCTGAGGCGAGGTTAGGGCGACGTGATAGCCTAGTGGTTAAAGCGTTCACTCTTCCGAAGAAAGACCTAGGTTCGGTTCCTGACACGGGTTATGCGTGTGAACCAATTTTTGGTGTTTGGGACGTGAGAATTTATATCTTCCCCATATGAACTCACTAGAAATACTACTGAAATACTAGATTGCAAACGACAACACCAGAGAATACTAGCAAGTCGTGATCATCTGACGAAACGGATTTGTTTTAGGCAAGCTAGTGGTAGAAAGTATATGATTCGGTCAATGACAATAAGGAATTGTTTCGGACATAATTATGTTTGCCACTGATGCATCAGATTGTGAAATTTTCTCCATATGGCTACTATAAAACGTTTTGAAAGCTTTACTGAGACCTGAATGTTGTAACCTTGATTAAAGAACCTCTGAACTAGAAAAGGATGTCGCCCTTTCAAATCGTGGTAAAAAGAGCATTGCAATGCAATTTATTATAGATTAGAGCCCACATGAATGTGTGAATCCACTTTCTAAAGTCATCCGTCAGGATAGTGTTTGGATATTGCTAAAAGCGGCGCAAAACCACACTCACTCACTCATGGAATGTAATACAGATTTCTAAAAAAATGTTTACACAGATACCAAATAGTTAGTACTCACTCATGTCTATAAAGGGCATTTAATGTTCACATTCTCGATAAAGACACCTTTATTAAGTAAAGAATAATCCAGTGAGAACCATGGCAACGAAAACCTAATGATCCACCTCAAAGGTTTCAAATGATCCCTTTACCCTTCCCCAGTGTGCCTGCAGAACGGTAGAAGAGAAACCATTCCTAACATGGCATTGTATATAGCAGTTTATCACTTAAAACATCGCCCTATCGTTATCAATACAACTGCTAATGAAATCACAACCATTGTATGCTATTGAAAATAGAAGCCACTGCCTCTAGTGGTACGCTTGCGGTACAAATGTGTTTTTCTCTTTTGCTTTATGGTACAAATCCTGCTTAAGTTATATTAACGATCGGACAACATGAAAAGCTTGGCGTTAGGAGTAATACGTTAACTGGGCTGGCACTCTGTGGAAACCAAACGGTGCCCAATGAATAGCAAATATATTGTAAGAAAAAGGTCGATCGAATGATTATAGACCTAAATATAGAACCAATCAATGACTAAATGAGATCAAAGAGATTGCCGACACTGCAGAAGAAGATGTTGGGGTGAAAGTTGCACTTCTTTCTGGATTTAATGGTTCCTGTGGACAGGTACGAAGGATGCTTTTTGTCATAACCCCGGAAGCTGCAGCTCGGCCTGAACAAATGCGCCGTGATATTATGCCTTGGTGAATTGTCGAGGGACTCAAGCATTATATTTTTACGTAAACGTGATTCCACTGTTCCGTTTATGTGCGGAAAGTGGTAATTCTTTGCCTATGAAAAATACCGAAAGTAATACGGAAAAAAACTTTGTTTATTAATAAGTATAATGTTACAATCTTGTTTTGTAAAACTGTACTGTCATGGTTTAAATATAAATACCAACCCAGACTTGTCGTAAGAAGCGAATAACGGATGTGTTTGTAAGGCTCTCTTACTTGTTTTGCACACGTCATCGGATCCTAATTACTCAGATACGTGTCAATCACTGGGTTATTTACAGACCACCTTCATGTAGCTGAAATATTGCTCTGTGCAGCGTTACAAACATACAAACAGATGTTGATTACAGATCTACATTGACTTCGCCTAACCGGAGTAAAATAATGATAAATAAAGAAGCTTAATGTTGGGCCTATGCGTGAGATGAATGGAATTTCACAGTATTATACCCATTCCGCGATATATGCAGAATACAACCCCGGCTTCGCGCTCCCTCGTTATTGTATGTACACAGAATGGTTAGACGTTGAGATTTTCTTTCTTGTATTTACTGACACTTCCTCTTCTCGTGCTTGACTTGCATGCATACCCCAAAGTCTTTTGAATTATTATTGAGATATGTCATTCATATATTGCCATTGTGTTGAAAAGCTCTTTTAAATCAACAATGATATATTGATTATTGGAGACATTGGAAGGCATTACAAAACTTTCCAACCTTGATTCAAATATAACGTATGTTATATTTGGCGTCTGACTTTAGGCGTCTGACTTTGTGTGCTGGCGATTAAGTGCCTGACTCTGAGGGTGTGGGTTCGAATCCCGGATG